TGTAAGACTAGAGGGAAGGCAGCTAGTCATCACCACCCACCGCCAACTCTTGGGCTACTCTTTTACAAACGAATAGTGGGATTGACCGTCACATTATAACGCCCCCACGGCTGAAAGTACGATCATGTTTGGTGTGACGGGGATTCGAACCCCCGACCCTCAGATTGTGAGTCGAGTGCCTTAACCACCTGGCCATGCCGGGCACAGTCGCGAGGGAGTTACAAAGTAACGATCAATTCTTCTTTTCGTTGGTAAAGTGTAGTTCAAGAATTGGCGGTTGGTGGTGTTGATTAGCTGCCTTTACTCTAGTCTTTCATTTCTAAATTAAAGATAGCTAGCACAAATATAACCCTCGAGTAGCCAGCGCAAAAATTCCACAAAATATCACTTGGAACTGTTTCGCGTACACTAAAAATGTTTTCCTTTATTTTATATTTTTTCGAATAGTTATTCAGAAGTAAACCAAACTGTATTCTAGTAAACCTTGATCTACTTGACGCAGTTTTAAGATGTCATTAAACTGTTTTCAAATTGTTTATGCTTTTTCATTCTGTTAAGTTGTAGCCAGAGGCGTCGCTAGGTGCTTAAAAGATTCGGGGCTCGGGCCCATAGGCGCGGAAATTTTCGGCGTTTCAGTATGATATCGAAAATTGTTTTCTATTCTGATTTCTTCAAGACACCAACTGGAGATTCGGGGCACTGTCAAATAGAATAGGAGCACGGGCCCCGTGTTCCAGCACCTAGCGACGCCTGAAATTGTAGCTTATTGTCTATTGAGGGACTATGTATTTCTGTGGTAAGGAAACTAATTTAATGGTGCCTGTAACTACGTATGTATATATATATATTTATAACTTGTATAAACAGATAAAATGATAATACAGTGAATACGTTAAACTGTTTTTTTTTATGTTAGCTTTACATAGAAGCAGCTTTAAGTTACATGCGTAGCCTTATCATAGATAATGTAACAGGTAATAAAGCAAACCTAATCGCACATTTTTTCGTATACTAGGTGTTCTTATTCTGACAATGATAACGAAAGTTATAACTTTCCTATTATATTGGTGTTCTTAAAGCTTTGAAGTACAATTTAAATTGTGATATGTTGCAAAATTGGAAAAGTTGTCGATTTTTGGATATCTTAAGGGTTATTTACTTACACAGATTCAGAAATAAAACTGTGTTATCG